TTAAAATATATCGTTTTAACTTAAGTGTAAATGTATTTTCTATTTTGCAGTCCCGGAGCTCAATTGGTAAATTATTATAAAAATTAGGACAAAGATAACTAAATGCACGTTTAAAACATTCCAAATTGACTTTGGGACAAGCTAAGTCATCTCTGGCTGAAGCTCGCGTTCTTATAGCTCGGGCAGGGACTCTAGAAATTTTCTCCACAAGGTAACTAGGAGCAAATTTGTTGATAACGTTAAAGGTAAGGCAGCCGATCTTTGAGATACACACATTAAGTTGAGTGTGGATAGAAGTTTGTTGGTTGAAGTGCGTGGAGGTGCTTTAATTATGATTCTCATGACCCGATTTTGCAATTTCTCAATTTTGTCGGTGTTATGCAAGCTGCTTGTACCCCACAAGAGGGCACCGTAGTCAATATGTGGGAGAATTAGTGTATTATAGAATAAGAGTGCTGTGCGAGAGTCAATAAATTTTCTTATTCTAGCTAAAATGTGAATTTTATGTGCAAGTTTGGAGCTACGTTTGCTGACATGTGAATGCCAGTCAAGCCTATTGTCAATATAAACACCAAGGTGCTTGTGCATAGTAACTTTTTTAATCCGTTTGCCAGCAAAAGGCACGTCAATTTCTTTATTTAGACGCTGAGGTGTGCCAATTAATATCACCTCAGTTTTGTCAATGTTAAGAGTTAGTCTATCAGAAATAAGCCAGGTATGGATAGTGTCTATGTCTTCAGATAACCTGTTGTTAATAATATCAATGTTAGAGTGAGAATAATAAAGTGAGGTGTCATCAGCATAGAGGTCAACAGTACTGTGTTTAGTAGCAGGGGCCAAATCGTTAATAAAAATAGTGAATAAAATCGGGCCCAGAATGGACCCTTGAGGAATTCCATACTTAACAGTGCGGAAATCAGAATAGGTGCTTTTGAATTTGACAGTTTGTGTGTGGTTATGAAGATAAGAGGAAAACCAACTGTTGGCAGAAGGGTGTACACCATACCGGGACAATTTAACAAGAAGGATTTTACGCCTTACGTAGATCTATAAAAAAAAAACTGCCCCAGTAGGACGTCCACCATTCATGCCGTCCAGCCAGTTATTATAGGTATTTATGAGCGCAGTAGTAGTAGAATAGGTTTTCCGGAAGCCGGATTGGTTAGGAGACAATAACTTATTAGTAGTAAAAAAGTTGGATATGGACACTTTCGAAAATTTTAGGAAGGATCGGGAGCACAGATATTGGACGATAGTTGTTCACGTCACTTTTAGACCCTCCCTTGTGGATTGGTACCACTTTGGCAACTTTCAGATCGGCGGGGAAACATCCATTTATTAAAGACAAGTTACATATGTGTGTCAAATAAGGCGCGATAGCAGGGGCCGCCAGCTTCAAAAGTTTGATAGGATGGCAGTTGATGCCAGTCGACGTTCCAGAGTCCTTGCCCAGTAGCTGATCAAGAACAAACCCACTTGCAACCTCATGAAAGGAAAAGGAAGATAAAGGTGGGTCAATATAAGAACAAGGATCAATGTTATTCGAATCAAGTGCACTGTCTAATTTAAAAGGAATATTTACAAAAAAAAAATCGTTAAAAGCATTACAGTACTTATTTCCTGTTCATTAGTAAACGTACTATCGTTGATAGTTATCAACATCGCTTATCTGTGTGATAGTTGATCAAGGTAGTTTATCTACATCTTGTAGAAATTGTTCTTCATTAAAATTGCGAAAATTACGAAATGTTCTTTGGTCATGTTCATTTTATATGGTTTAAGTTTCAGTGAGGTAAAAATAAAATCATGACCGCTAAGAAATTGAATTACAAAAGTGTTTTGGTGCAGGCAAGTATTTGTTGTCAGGATCAGATCAATCAAAGATTGACCGTCGTCAGTGGTGCGAGTTGGAGAAGGCACCATTTGAGTAAGACGAAAGAGATCCATTTTATCCTGCAGATTGTTGCGATTTGAGTGGGATTTCAAAAAATCAATATTAAAGTCACCCAAAATTATTAAGTCTCTTGCAACACAATATGTATTTTAAAAGTTTTCAAAATTTTCAATAAAAAATTGCAGGCGTATTTGGAGGTCTGTACACAGTTGTTATACGAACATACATCAAACATCCTAGCTATGACAAAAATAACATAAAGACGACTTAATCAATCTATCGTCTTGAATGTTTAACCAGTGTTTTAATTAAGGCTAAGTTCGGGTGAATGCCGTATCATCATCGTACTTGCATCGTATAATTGTATTGGCAAATCAACCGCAATTGCAATACTGTACTGAGACGTTCAGCAAACTATGGTCCGCGGCCCAAATTTGGGCCGCGAAACATTTTTTAGGGCCGCGAAGCCGTCTGGACATTGAAAAAAAAACCCAAACAAATAAAGCTGCTTCATTGTTACAGCGAATGCGTCGTTTGCACACGCTGCTAAAAGTGCCAGATGATGCGTGCTATTTGAGTTATAAGCGGTTTTTTTATGCCCCCTCGGGAGCCTTTATCTGTATATATATTCCTGATAGTTCTAGTATGCAACATTATTTTCTATAAATAAATATACTGTAAATATACCTTTTTTAAGCATTAAATACATGACAAGCGCGGATCCAGAGTTTACCCTGGCTTTCGCACAGGTGGGTTCCCATATTGGGAGAGTCATGAGAAGAGAGCTAGTTTGTTTTGTCGCTGGAAGATAAATTTTAGATATTCGAAAATTTTTGTTTTCTAGATTCTTTTAAATACACTTCGTGCATTATGAGGCGTCTATTATTGAATACACTTTTAATTCACAGTTTTTCCCTACTTTGCTATAGACAATTAATAATTATGATGATGAAGAAGATTATGATGATGAGGAGGAAGCTGTGCAAGATTAATTAACAAGCCCTTTTATGTGAAGTGTCAAGCGAGGCCCGTAGCCTAAGTTACGTTTGGGTATTTGGAGACATTATCGTCGTCGTCAAATGTTCAATGCACACAGTCGGTATATACATGGAGGCTTCATGATCAAAAATTCTTGCCAAGATTTGGTATGTTGGTCCCTGGCGCTTAATGGTGCCTGGAATCGTAGGCAGTGAAGTAAAAAGTTCGCGGAACGCTGTACTGTACTGTAAACGGTATTCCACGATCCGTGTGTACTCAGTAGCTTGCTTTGCATGTATGAATGGGTCTCCAAGCTGTGTGCATGATGCAAGACAGTCTGTGGAGTACTAAAGGTTTCACTCCCAGAATTGGCAGGAAAAAATCGTTTTATACTCGGGCTAAAAACTAGTCGCGCAAGCAAATGACCTTGTCGCACTGCGCGCGACTAATCAAAATTCCCTGTCGCATTTACGAAAATCAGGTCGCAAATGCGACCAAATTACCCTTAATTTCCAGCACTGAATGCGTCACTCTACAACATTCCTACTCTTTATTTTAACATGAAACAAGTTTATGAATAAAATATTCAAGATTTTTGTAGGCCCCGAAAATACGCGTACCGCTAGGCCAAGCCTTAGTTTCGTTTAGAGGGTAGCAGCGCCAAGACGAGCTCTACCACTAGCCGTGGACGTACAACATTGGTTGCCGCTTTGGAACTGGAAGAGTACATCATTAAATTGACTCAGATTCAGGCAATAATGTGCTAAAAAGACGAATACCATATATACATAGCATGAAGTGATTTAAAAACACTATTTTCATCACGATTTCTGGTCTTTGGTCTTCGTTTTGTAGACACCCATATAGGGTGTCTATAAAACGAAGACCCTTAAGTATTTCTTGATATTCCTCATTTTATTCAGATGAAATAATGAAATAGGTAGGCCTACTTAGCAACTTAGCAAATGATGATTTTAAAATACTTTCAATAATATAATTGAGAAATAATTGGAGGTCTTCGTTTTTCGAGTCTTCTGTCTTCGTTTTGTAGACACCCATATAGGGTGTCTATAAAACGAAGACCCTTGTAAATTTCACAAAGAGACGCCCAAAAAATGTCGTAATTTTGATTTTGTGACAGCCTGGTGTATTATCATCAAAATAAAAAAGAAAAAAATAGGGGTCTTCGTTTTTGGGTCTTCGGTCTTTTAGTGAAATAAAATACTAGGTTTAAAAAGTAAAGCTTTTGGAATTTAGGGGGTGCGTCCACACCCTCTGCACCCTACCCACTCCCCCTGCCTACGGGGCTAAACTGAAAGTAAAGATCTACTTTTGCGTCCTTTAAAACAGCGTTCCGCAAACTTTTTACTTCACGGCCTATTTACGATTCCATGCACCAAGCTGCGGCCCAGCAGCCCAGCCGCGACAGGGACTAAAATACCAAAAACCAGGAAAGAAGTTTTGATAATGAAGACTCCATGTATACACAATAGTTTGTCATCATTATCTGTTCTCTCTGTGACAAAATGTCATTGTATACAAATTAAATAGTATTTTTATTTGAAAAAATAATACCACACTTGTGTTTTCCCCGACAACTGACTTTTCAGCCACACATACATTATAACCTTCTCCTTCCTCCAAAAACTTTCACGCACACTCAGTCACTCCTCAACTTCGAAAGACATCGGGCGGTTCATCCACTACCGTCACTTCTTTTGTCACACCTTTCATTTGCGGTAAGATTAAAAACCGCTTATAACTCAAAAAGCACGCATCATCTGGCATTTTTGCAGCGTGTACAAGCTCCGCATTCGTTGTAGTAACAATTAAGCGCCTTTATTAATAATTTTTCTCTATGTTGAAACTTATCTTTGTTATTATTTTTTTTTTCAATTTCTCAGACGGCTTCGAGGCCTTCCAAAAATGTTTCGCGGCCCAAATTTGGGCCGCGGCCTATAGTTTGCGGAACGCCGCTTTAAAAGATTGGTGTTCATCATGACGATAAACTGTTTAACAAATATCTAGAGCTGTTGACATCAACCAATGTAATATTGTTTGATATTAATCAAGTTCATATGTGTCAAGTGTGCTTTAAGCGGACGCACGTAATTTGTACAGTACTTACTTGTAACGTAGTAAAGGTATTCAACGTTCAATCAAGGATTTCCACAAAGTATTACCAAAGGAGGTATATGGTTGCGTAAGGCAGCTATCCCCCAATCTGGATCCTTACAACGATTACGCGTTGTAATGCTCAAGTTTGGTATCGTTGAACAATTTGAAATTGTATTTACTTTTTGTTTATAGGAACACCAACATAGTATCACAGAGTCCACAACCTTACGACGTGTGTGTTCAAGAGCAAAGTGCAGTTCACTTGGTCGTAAAAACACGGGTAGTTGAATTTAATATCAAATCGTTGTATAGAGGGCGTATACCATGAAGATGTAACGTACAAGAAGTCGAAATAAACCTATTTAATGGCCACATATTCAGTAAGTTTATCAATTATTATTATTATTATTATTATTATTATTATTATTATTATTATAAAGGTAATTTAGTTGTGTGGTAATTTTATTCTGAAATAAGAGTATTGAATGAATGAATGATGAATGAATGAATGAATGAATGAATGAATGAATGAATGAATGAATGAATGAATGAATAAATGAATGGATGAATAAATGAATGGTTGGTTGTCGTATGGAAATCTTGTTCCGAAATAAGATATTGAATTTGCCGAGTTCAACAACAATTTTCTTTAGGCCTACTTTAAAGTATTGTCAAAGAGTATGCTTTCTAGTCAAAACGGCAATTACCAAACTGGTAATAAACCAAAACGGCTACACTTTTTGACAAGAACGGCAATGGACCAAAACGGCAATATACCAATACGGCAATAAACCAAATAAAATAAAACTTTAAACTACAGACAAAATGAGGCTAAAAGAATAGAAGTAAAAAATGCGAAAAAAACATTAATAAAAATAATAAGGCCTATTAATAACAATATTATAACAACATACCGGTACACATTCAATAATAAAAGGATTTGTGGAAACACAATAAAAGCAATAAACATTGAAATAAATAAAACTTTAAAATACAGACAAAATGAGGCATCTAAATAATTTGTCATGTTCAATAGAAGATGAACCCAGTCAGCAATATTTTGAGTTTTTACCCTAATGGAATTTTGTGACCTTTGACACCTTTGACTTTAAAATGAAATTCAGAGTATAGTTAACATGTTCACAATGCCTTGTGGAATATCCTTAAGTAATTTGTGTACATGAATAATTGTAAAATTTATGACTGAACTTTGAACTTTAACCTATGGGAATTTTGAACTCAAATGGAGAATTTTGAAAAATGTACTCTAATTACCCCTATGTAATGCCTGACTTCAGCCTGAACTGTTCTAAATGACCCAAGTTTTATTGAAATTTGCAAAATCATTTTCCTCTAGTAGTGAAATTGACCTCTGACTTATAAAATTTGACCCTATGGAATGATGAGTATATTTCGCTTTTAGAAGATCATTCCTAGTAGATTTAAGTTGAAATGGACAATGTGTAAAAACCAACCCTAATGGCCTATACAGTATGTGACCCCTGACCTTAGCCTATTCTCAATTATGAATTTTGATCTGTTGGATGAGGAGTAACTTAATCTATATATAATAGTATTACATTTAAATTTAAAAATTCCAAAATTCATAAAAACCATAGAACATGGCAGCCAAAAAGGCTGAATTACGAATTATGTGACATCAAAATAGGAAATTTATATTAAGATTTACATAAAATAGTTTAGATAAAAAACAAGAGAATTAAACTACAGAATTATAAATAATAATACTATAGCAATCTGTTATTGTTATAATTATTATATAATTATAAATGATTGCTACAGTAATTATTATTATAATTATTATTATTATAATTATTATTATTAAATAATTGAATTGATTGCATCAAACCATTAAATTAAAGAATTGCGAATTACGCTAAACATCAATAACATCAAAAAGCATGAAACACATCAGACATAATAGGAAATTTACATTAAAATTACAGAAAAAAGGTTTTACAAATTCACATAAAAAAATAAAAGCATTCACAAATTGGTAAACAAGCTCCAAAAGGACACACTCAAAGCAAAGGAAAACAAAGAAAGCACAGAAGGACAGAAAACATCAGGAAGAAGAATACAAAAAAAAGGAGGGGGAATTACTGAACCGCTAATTTACCGCAAGCGTCAAACCCGGGGGGGGGGGGAAAGTTACAAATCGATAGAGTTAATTTTAACAAGATAAGGTAATGGGCTGTTTGGGAGATCCTAAGTATCATTCCTAATAAATTCGAGCTCAAATGGACAATTATAATAAAAATAACCATAATGACCCTTATGTAATCCTTGTCCTCAGTTTGTTGGGTGGGAGTGTCACTGGTTCTTGAAATGGGTCCAATCATTTGCCTGTGAAGAAAGATATTTAATCTGGAAATTATCCTTATTGACATTTGACCCCAAATCCATGAACGCCATAAAGACCCTGGCTCATGCCAACGCATAATGTGGAAAGGACAAGACTGCGCTATGTTATTTGTGAGAAAAGTAATCTTCTGATTGCCTCTCATTTTTTATTACCCCTATTATAATATTTGGACCCCAAATTTTAAATACTACTGTACCCCATAAACCTAAGATAGTATAGGCCTAATATT